TTTTTTTTTTTTTTTTTTATAAACTTCTACGTACTATTCCTGTCCCTTGCAACAAACAGGCCTACTACAACACAGAAGGCTCCTGTTTGGGAAGAATGAAAGCACGCTGCTGACCACCATCAGTGTTACAAGCTTCCCAGCAAAGAACTGGTTCCTACTGTATGGGGCAGCTAAAGCACTGTGCGACTCCAGTGCCTAATAACAGGATAGCGAAAGACACTTAACAGTGGGTTTGAATGCAACCTTCCACACTCAACAAGAACCAAAAATTATCCCTGGCTCATAGCAGTTTGGCCACCTCCAAGAAAAAGCCACTAAGTCCGCACCAGGTCCTTGTGGATTCCTGTCCACATTACAAGCCACCAGTGTGGCTGGAACTAACATCACCGCTCTGTAGGTCTAGAGTAGACTGCAGTTTCTAGATCGGTTTTAGGTCTCTAGACTCAAGCTTCTCTACTGCTTTTGAAAATAAAGCATGCTTGCAGATTTCAAGCAGATTTTCCATCTTTTGCAACCAAAAACACAGGCAAATTATGTTTGATTCGCAATGCAGGATGTAAATCTGTAGCTTCCACGTATGGCATAGAAAAGAAACAAGAACAATGTAGCAGGAACTCTGTGACACTTCAGCTCCTGTGCCTAGAGAAGGCAGCTGCAGAGAAATGACTAGGTACTAGAGCACACCTGCATGGCACTGTAACAGAAGACAATGGTAGACTAACACTGCCCAGAAGCCTAATGTAAAATGGAACCTCTCCCCAGTAGTCAACACCAGTTTTGGTACCAGAATGCAGGAACCTCAGTTCCAAGACCAATTTTTGGCTCATACCAGCTACATTTTATTTACAGAGTCACCCAGGGTATCACTTCCATTGCATATTATAGGCCATAGCTCTACAAGGCAGCTTCAACCCCAACAGGAAATATCCAAGCCGAACACCTCCATGGAACCATTGGGCACTTTCCTGAGCTGGGGACAAAAGTGAGGAATGAAGTGCCTGCTTAACTTTGGGCATGTACTTCAGTGCCAAAGTCACTGAATCAGATCCCCAGGTGCAGATCAGCCCTGTAAGATGTAAGCAAGGGCTTAGAGTTAATTGTGTGATTAAGTGCTTTGATGAATAGGAGGCCCTGTGAACATACCTCTGGTACCTGATGACATTCAGCTGCCCCATTTTTTGCTGCACATACATGGTTGATCATGAAAATTCAGAACCAGGATTAAGCTTTTGCCTACAACTGTAAGCACTAGGTACTTGCCCCACTGAACAACAGAGAACACTTCCCATGTCAGCAACTTGCTACACCACACACGCACAATCACTGTCAGACTGGCCTTGTCATGTTCTTGTTAAATGGTTTCCTCACTCCTATTAACCCTAGGATTATTACAAGGGAAAGAATTTTACATTTTGTATTTCCTTATTCCCATTTCTGACAGAAATTTGCTTTCAGCACTTTATTTGCTTCAGCCAGTGGAAATCAGGAGTCCACTTCAGTTTCAAGCTGCGTTCAAGGCTATCGTGTTTGGCTGGCAAAGACTTTGTGGAAAGGTTTAAATTCAAACAAAAAAACACTGTTTTCATTTCTCATTAAAAAAATTATGAAAATATTCCTATTGGACTTTACAAAACCTTTAAAATGACAAAACCAAAACTCTTCTTGTGCCCTAAATTTTAGGTTGTGTTATCTGATAGCATCATACTAAATATGCACTGTGAATTATCTTTATCCTGATTTAATCACAGAATCATAGAAAAAATCAGAGTGGCAGGGCCCTCAGGAGGACATCTACTCCAACCCTCTCAAGGCAGGATCATCCCTGTCTAAATCATTCCAGTCAAGTGTTTGTCTAACTGGTACTTAAAAATTTCCAAAGATGGCGATTCCACAGCCTCCTTAGGTAACCTGTTCCAGTGCTGAAACACCCTCATAATTACGAAGTTCTTCCTAAAAAATATAATAAAGCTGTTGTAACAGAATATAGCTTCCTATAATTAGAGTCCTGAGGAAGGATGTTTTACATTCAAAAGCTTGCCTAACTTTATCCCAACAACATAGTTGGTTCAATAAGAGATAGCACCCTAAGAAATCCTTGCCTCTTGCATGACTAGAAGAATATTTTGCAATCTTCAGCACAGAGTCCAGTAACTCAAGTATTTCTTCCTTCTGGAAATAACACCCCCCCACACCCCTGAAAACAGGAGGGAATGCTTCTTATGCATCAGGAGTGTTGTCTGCTGAAGAGTTGACTGAACATTTCTTTAGCGAGTCTTGGACAATTTCCTGTACAGGCTGCTATTAGCACCTGGGGATTAGTTTATCGGGAGCATCATTTTAATTGGTGTGCAGACAGGAAGCAGCAACACCTCCCCATGTCAAATGCAAGACTGTGAGGGTCACATCACCTGACACTTCAGGACAAAGAATGCATCCAGGCAGCATACTTCCCCACTACAGGAGGACATATAGAAGGAGCAGGTGCACCCTGGCCTTCTGAATATTTAAATATATAATCTACAAAAAGTGATCCAACAAAAGCAGATGGGTCAAACAGTCTACAAGGTCAGAAAAGTCAAATCCCTTGGCGTTCAGGAAAAAAAATCTGATCACATACTTCTACATGCAAATTGGCAACAATGAAATTAACTGACTCACTGCACAAATCAATCAACTCTGTTTGAGCTAGACCCCAGAATCTGACAAAGAGATTTCACTGAGAGTTTTTATAGGCAAAATGTGCCTATAAACCATGGGAATTATTCGCTTACAGAAAAGGGACTTCAGACTGCGCCTGAAACTGTTAGGACCAGACACCCACCTGTCCTGCAGGTATACGGCCAGGCCACCATGCAATAGCTGGCTCTCTCATGCCACCTTCAAACGTTGTCTGTTTTCCGCATAGAAAAGGCCCATTGCTACCCCCTAAAAACAGAGGATAATTGAGAAACATTAAGAGGTGCCAACAGCATATTTTAAAAGGGTCCCAAACAGGAGTTTTTGAAACCAGCATTTTAAAAGAATTTTATTTTGTGGATCAATATCATCTAATTGGCACACATGGCATTACTTTGATTGCCTTCCTTTAAAATAAGGTTTTAGGATAGACTTCCCTGCAGTGGAGAAACCGATTAACAGACACTGCAAATATGAAACAAACCAATAAGATCATTTTTGTCCATTTTGTTTTACTATAAGAGTCTTAAATCTCACTTGTGGCCAAAGGAGGTCAAATCTTCCAGACTGATGTGTTATTTTTCTAGGATCCCCTTACATTTTAGGGGTTTTAAATTATATAGACCTAAAGATGACAAATAAGATTACATTATGTTTCCCCCAAAAACCTCTGATCAGAGACAATGACTGGTTTGCAGCGACACTCCTTTCATCCCCAGCTTTGCAGTTAAGCCGGCAGAGGAACAAAGCAGAAAGGTCGCCCAGGGTCACAGAGTGTCAGTGAAACTAGAACTCAAGATCCTCACAGCCTTATGTCCTGGTAGCTCCTGGACTGCAGATCTCCAAACAGAGAGGACAAAAAGCTATAAAATCAAATTTTCAATGGCTGTACCTCAGGGAAACAAACTTATAAACAAAAAGGAAATCTGTGAAGAGAAGAAAACCTGTTCATGACAGGGAATGCTTGTTCCTCCTGCTGTTTCTTCGTTAAGAACTGAAGAGAACAGGACTCTTGCATTTTTTATAAACTATTCAGTAGTCAGATATGCATTTGGAAATGGGGATCTAATTCGTCTTCCTAATTAACTAATATAGAAGGCTTAGCAGTTCATTGTACATTTCCCTCCAGCACGCACAATACAAGTGATAGATGTAAAAACTGGCCAGCAGGCAGCTAAATGATGGATAACTGTAATCCAAATAAAAACACTTACCCATCAGCACTGGGGCCTGGGGCAGAAGGGGACTTGTGTGTGATCATGTCTGAGCTTCAGAAAGAGTTCTCCAAACCTCAATGGTGCTAAACCAAAACCCAACATGGGAGTCTCTGTCTTCCAACTCTGGGACTGTTCAAATCTGGGCCCAACTTTCCCAGCTCCAACTGAGCTTTGTCCTCTACACACCTACCCTGTGTAGGAGCCGAAATTAGGGCAGCCCCATTATCAGACGTGAAAAACACAAACGTGTTCTTGCTGATGCCCAGCTTCTGAAGGTGTTTTAGGATTTTTCCAATGCTGTCATCAATTTCTCGCACAGCATCTCCATACCTGAGAAAGAAGCAGTTATAAACATTTAAGATGGTGAAGAAGGAAGGAGAATTTAATGCAAGGTAATGCATTACAATAAAACACGGCATCTTTAGAATACACAACTAATGCCTGTGCTGGAGAGGGAAATAATTTACCCACCCATCAGGTAGGTAATGAAAGTTTGCCAGTGTCACTGTATAACTTATGCCTCTTATCTGTGGAAGGCAACCTCTCTGAGATATTAGAGCCCTTTGAGTTTGCTCAGATCTGAGCTACTCTTGGACAGAGACCAGCAATTGAGATAAATTAAACCATATGGCTCCCAGACATAAGCAAAGGCCACTTTGCTCTGAGCTAGAGGCTAACAACATTATTTTGCTTATAGATGCTAGGTGGAAATTACAATCTCAAAACTGAGGCCCACTACACGCACAAGACTACCCTTCCCCTCCTGAAAATTGAAGTTTCCAAGACACAAAGCCTGTTTGCTGTTCCGATTTACAAGCTTTTAAACCGGGCACTAATCAACACTAGACCAGCAGCCTTCCCAAAGCATCCCTTCCATATACAGCATTTCAATACTCACACAATGGGCAAGGGAATGTCGATCTTCCCCACATATTTGTCACCATATTTTTATTTCAGATAACAACAAACATCTTGGAAATCAGCCTCAGCAAAATCCTTTGCAAAAACTGAATCAAATACCAGGCTCATCAATGTATGGGTTTGCACTTCAGGACACATACACAAACAAGCAGCAGTCTATGTTCTCAAGTCTAATAAGAAGTTGTACCGCAGGAGGTATAAATCAAACAAAAAGTGACTTACAGCCCTCTCCGGCTAGTGCCCAAGAAATCTTTGGAGGCATACACAGGCGCATGAGTGGCATCAATTGCCCAGTACAGAAAGAAAGGCTGCTGACTGGCTTGCTGCCTGTTAATAAAATCAAGAGCTTCCTGCAAATGATAATAAAAATTAACTTAACAGAAACATTCTCTGCCATCTAAACACTGCATGAGAAGAAACATAAAATGACTGGGTTATGGTTATAAACCCCTATTAAAATGCACAATACCTTTAAGTAGGTCTGAGTTAAGTTCGCCTCCCCTGTCTTCAGATCAATTTTGAAATCTTCGTAATATCTTAAAACAGAAATGGGGGGGAGGGACGGAGAATCAATTACCTGAGGAGCACAGAACAAAAGGGCTTCTCTTCCCCATTACTTACAGAGGCAGGTCACTGTTACTCAATAAAAGGGCAGGCTCATAACTTTTGTAACCAGCCAATTCTCTTTGGAAACAAAAAAAAAAACTTAATTATACTTTTATGACGGGCGCGAGCAGCAAAATCTTATTAAGGAGAAGACTAAAGTTAAGTGAAGACATGCAAGATCTGTGTGCACCCGAGCCGACAGGTTTGTTTCCTTGCACAGTATCTTATTGAATAATTAAAGATAACTATTCAACAAAACACAGCTCAAAGTCTTGATGCAATCTTAAAACAGGGATAAATAAGATAAATAGGGATATCCCATTAAAAAAACCCGACATGAATACCCAATTCCCCTTTCTACAGGGCTGTGCAGTCTATGGATAACATTTTCAACAACCTGTAAAGTTCACTGTAAGACTCAGGCTCCCAAGCACCTTTGAAATTGGGACATGTTGTTTTTAAATGTTCGGTATGCTATATTAAGCAAAAGGCAAGGGGAAAAAAACCTGGAGAGAGCACTGGAGAAAAGGAGCAGGAGAAGATGCGTTTTGAAGACAGCAGGCTAGAAAGATACAGGCTGTAAGCTTGGAGGCTATGGTGGGAATGTCAATATAGAAAGGGTTATTTGCAAATAGGAATAAAGGAAACAAAAATTTCTGCAGCTACGACTGGCACTGGCTCCCAAGAGGCAGCAGAGAGGAATCAGCATAAGGAATCTTTCAGGCACATTTGTACGGGCTCCTATAAGACTGTATAAAACAGTAGCAGCCTATCCACAGTCTGTGAACACCTGCAGAAAGTTCTTGGCTCTCTGGACTACTACAACCCTCTACACTAATATTCTACCTTGAACTTAGCTGCCCTGTGAGCAACCCATCACTGGCACATTGCCCCTGTTTGAATAGTCAAAAGCTCTGACATGTTATGGTATCCTGGGCACTCCCGTAAGTCTCCTAAACAGCAGCGAGAGCCAGAGTGCTTGATAATCCCAGTGAGATGTCATGCAGAAGCCCAGCACTGAAGCAGCGGGGCTTCAAAGTCAATTTTTGAGATAGGAACACATGCCATGGTTCCAGCAGGCAGTAACTGAAGAGTTCATTGTAAAGCCTAGCAGCGATGAAGCACCTGGGAGCTCTTCAAAAACACTGGTAAGCACTATGACTCCCTTTCGCTATGGAAAACCAATGTTAGAGTCGGACTCATAACTCAGGAGCTCGTTTCCTCGCCCTGCATGTATATCACTGTGCATGCATCCCTCTAAGTAAGGAGCTACGTCTGCAAATGGAAAAAGAGGCTGAGAGATCCAGCCCAGGAACAAGTGCTGTGAACTGCCAAAACTGTGCTTCACAAACCAGCCCATCCTGACTTCTAGCCTGAGCACAAAAACCTTCCAACCCACATGCTCCAAACCTGATTCCTGAGAATAAAACCATTTTGGGAACTGTATAAGAAGCCCCACTTCTTTGGGTAAGGCTGTTGCAAGTTCTCACCTGGGCCTTACACGGCTCAGTGTAGGCTGTCTCTGTTCAAAGGCACCCAGCTCTCGTCCCTTGAAAACAGAGATGGCCTGAGCAGCGTACGAACCAGGTAAGTTTGCAATAGCCTTTAGCCAACAAAGAGGGGCTTTTTAATAGGAGAGTGTCCAAGAGGTTTTTATCCTCAGGAATCAGGTTTGGAGTGTTTGCCATGTAGGTAGGAAGATTTTGTGCTTGGGCTAGACATCAGGATGGGCTGTATCTCACTGGTGTGTGAAGGGCAATGAGTTTCTGCATTAACAATTCTGGGATTGCCTACTTTATACACGTGGCAACTCTGCAGGGATGCTAGGAAAAGCCCTGGGGTAAGTTGCAATGGTAAGTGAACCAGCTCAGCCTTAGGGCCTGGCTCACTCAACAGCTCACTGCACAGACAGGATTTTGGGGACTGTTGCCCATCAAACCAAGCCATGGTGTTGTAACTCTGCCCGACTCAGAAGCTTCTGTATTTTCCCCATCTCTTCCTAGCTGAAGGCAGCTTGCTGTGCAAACCTTATCCTCCAGTAGAGCACAGACAGCAGAGAAAGCAAAGAAAAGAAGGTGCCAGTAACCTTCAAATCTTTTCTGACAAATGAGCTGGGGAGTAAAGGGATGAAATACCTGCCAATCATTTCCTGGTCCCTATACACAGGGAGGTTTGGGAAGTCCTTGTTATTGTACGGTCCAAAATGGCAGTTCGGGGACCCAAACCACTCATCAAACCCATGCTTCAGAGGGTGGAATTGGGGTCTGTGACCCAAATGCCTAGGAACAAAACACACAGAGAGCTCAGGAGTCCATTGACAAGGAGAAAACAAGCACCATATGGCAAGAAAATCTTCCAGCGACATCAGAGGAATATTTTAGCAGTTTCAGACAAATCAGTGACTAAGCAATGGGTGCGGGTAATATAAGTATACAAGCCCCAGCCACTATTCCAGAGTCTCCATTTAGTCCAATTCCCCTTGTGCATCTTGCCTTCCATTAAATACCACTTTCTTCTATGCTCTTGAGTGCAACTGAACACAGACAGACACACTCCTGAATCCACACAGAGCTGCTTGCAAGGGTTAATCCATAGTTGACAAACTGCTGGAGACGAACAGCCTTTGCTCTTTTCTAGTTCCTTCCTATTAACATCTTCTCTGATGCCATCTTCATTATGGTCCCCTCAGCAGAGGTGGGGTCTGTTCCACCACCCAGAACACACAGCAAAAATATACATAACAATTCACTTGGGGCCTGCACGATCTGCACTAAGGCATCTCTGCTGTATTCAGACACATAGGAGCCGCAAAACCCGTGAAACTGTTAGCTGCATTTAAGTTTTGTTTAAAAAAGCATTTGTGTTACAGAATGGAGTAAAGCGAACCCTAACCTAAGTGAGAATGAGAACTGCAGAATGCACAGACACACAGAAAAAACGTGCTGCTGCTCTGCTGAACAGCTTCGTGCCAATGTATAGCTTGGACCCTCCTTCCTTGGCTCCAGGCTCCTGCTCATTCCCAAGCCTCACGTTCCAGGACTGTGAATAATTCACTTCCTGCATTTAGGCTATCCAGAAGGTATTTGAGGGAACTGTCATTCCCTCCCCATCTCCACAGGAGACATTTCTAGCCAAATATAAATGTATTACTTCAGTCTCCTCCCTTGAGCCGTCATCTTTAACCCAGTCTCTTTTATTGCCATCCTTTGTATATTCTTTGAACTCTGGGAGCCAGAAATGCATGTGCTGGATTACACCAATCCATGATGTAACCCCAGGGGGTGCATCAGGGCTGCACTTCACCTCATCATTACTGCTGTGCTTACCTTGGCTGGGTAAAGTAAAACCTTTGTCTCCAGTTTTACATGTGGGAACCCCTCCTTCCCCCCCAGAATACACACACACACTCATTTCACAAGGATTAGGAGAACGGAAAAAACTCTTATGCAGAGAGAGAGAAAAGAAGGGGCAGATGACTTTACAAGAGTTGAATAGAGGAAACGAGAAAGCACACCAATCAATCACATGGAGGATGGGTAGGCTGCATACTTCCGTTCTCCTCCTTTTACTGCACAAGGGTAAGGGGACATTCATTGGATCTGAAAGGCAACAAGTTTAAGCTGAGCAAAGAAAATACCTTTCCCCCACCTCACACAAGGCATAGCCAGACTGGACTTTCTGCCCCAGGATGCCATGCAAACACTTGAACAGGAGGCTTAAAGGAGGGATATAACGCCACCTGTTTTCAGGCTGAAACCTATCCCTATTAGGAAAAGACTTTCATGGAGGACATGGTATCCCACATCTGCCTGCCGCAGGGTTTCTTGCACCCCCTCTGAGAAACAGCTGATGCTAACAATCACCAGAGATGGCAACTGCACTACACAAGTCTTGGGGTCTGCCCAATACAATGATTCTTAGCTTCACAAAGACACAGCACTGCAAGTTCACAGCTAGTCTGCTTTTCTCCATCACCTGCAGGTCCTTCCAGACAGCTGTCTGGAACCAAACTGCATCCGTGCTGTTTATTTCCTTTCCCTAGGTGTATGAATTTACATCTATTAGTACCGAACTGCATCTCATTGCATTCAGCTCACTGATCTGAATTTTCCTGGCCACTTTGCCACTTGGATTTGTGCTAATAAATAATTCACTGTTTTAGGTTAGTTTGTTTTCCCCATGACTTCTCTGGTGCTGGCAAATTCAATTGCAATTCAATCAACACCTTTCTCTAGCCCGTTAATGAAATTGTAAAATAATATAGATCCCATTACTGTCCCATACAGGACCACCCCACTCCCCCGATACTGCTGCCTCCGGAAGGTCTCTGTATTCAGATTTTGTTTGTGAACCCAGCAGTATCAGACTTGTACCTATGCAGCTTTGAGGTTATTATTTATGCATTTATTTATTACAGCACTATGCTGAATTGCGAATTACCAGCGCAGTGACCTAGAAACCCAACGGGACTCATCACACCACTCAAGTTCCTTATTGAAATTCACACACGTTATGCCCAGTAGCTTCTCTAACAACTGCACCAGCAATTCCAAAGAAGGCAATTGCATTAGCTGGCCCGCGCATCTCAGACGCTTCTTTCCTACCCCAGCTTGCCTTTACAGGTGCCAGGCACTCTACCTCACTACCATGACCAATAAGAATTATTTCCAGAAGTTCTTCTTAGATCTACTAATAGGTGCTGAACAGAACAGTCAGAGATGGGTTTTTTGGCATCCTTACACCAATAATGCTGGATGCCAGGAAGGATAATGAATAGGGAGCAGGTCACTCTCAACACATCCAATTCAATGTTCTCCCTCCAAGATTTCCATTTCTGCCATCACTGGAGACATGATACTGGGCTAGATAGGCCATTGGCCCGACTGCTTATGTTCTGATGTTTTCTTTGCCAAGGCCTTGTCCTGCACCCATAAAAATCAAAGCCAGTAACAAAACTCCAATGAGAACAGGATCAAAACCAGAATGTTTTAAAAACCCTTGGCATAAAGCTTGCTCTGGTCTCTGCTCTTAACTCTCTCCCTTTGCTTTCCTAGGCTAGGCCACTCTTTTGCATAGCCCTAATATCAGCCTGTTAGCCCTTATAGGTTGCAACCTTATTTCTACCTCAACAAGTTGCTACCCCCCAAAACACCAAAGAAAGATTGCAGCGTAGGGGTCAGACGCATCTCCAGAGAATCAATGTAAAATAAATTGTTGGGTATTAGCGACATGCTCCAACAGAACATCGTGGTGACTGTTGATGAAAATAAGTGCATTGTGGTGCACGGATGAGAGCACAAGGGGTTGAGGCTTTTACTTTAATAATGACAGCACTCAATTCTGAAATTAATCACAGCAGGGGGGGAAGATCTTGCATGGATTTCAAAAGACAGACATCTGTTCTTGAAACAAGTTTTTGCAAGCTGATTTTCCCACCGCCCTTTCACATTAAACACACACAGGTGCATGCACACACATACGCACACACACAAAGCAAGAAACTCAAAACAAGGTTACCATTTGCCAATGATCTTATTGACATATCCTGCTTTCTTCAGCAGCTCTGGAAGCAGTAGCTCAGAATCTGGGATTCCCCCTACTATTTCCTGTGGTGTGTAGGCTGTGCAAAACAAAACCATGGATTTTTGACTCTTCACTCACATTGGAAAGCAGGCCATGAAAGCTTTTAGCCACTCATCAGAAGCATCATTTAACTTGATCAGAAATTGGGCCCAGTTGGATGAGCCACCAACGCTGTTTTTGTGGATTCAACTCTCCCAAGCCAGGAAGTAATGAGGCCAAGCTCTCTCAGCAATTCTGCCATCACAGAAAAGGGAGCCTTTCAAACTGCTCCGCACTGTGACCAACATTCAGAACCAGGGGTTGAACCCAGCTGTTGTTGGCTGATTTAAGGATGCAGGTCCCTTGGAAAGGAGTGGCCATGAGGACAGTGAATGCCACAGGGCTCAAATGGGGCAGTGAGACTTACTTCTGCCAAACTGCCTGGAAACATCTAGAATTTGTGGCTTCTTATAAATCAAAGGATAAATGTAAGGATAAGGAAACACCCAAAGTGCACTGGCAGATCCAAAACAGAGCCTCTCACATATTCGTGGTAAGATAGCCCTCACTTTACTAGGTGAAAAGATCAATGCTTCATCCCAGCTTACTCACACAGTAGACTCAAACAGTCAGGGCAGGCCAGTTTCCATAGCAGACAACAAGAATGGCAGCACATCTGGATGCCTCCAAAGCCCCAGCTTGAAGTACCAGCTACCCATGAGAGCTAGGTCAGCTCAGGCTGCAGTGACATGCCTTTACTTGCTCTGCTGTAGCACCCTATCATTTAGCTATGGGACATCCAAATACATTTGAATGGACTGATACACAGCTGTAAGCGTATGTCCACATGAACGTGGTCTCAGGGTCCCTGTTACTTTGGAACCAGTGACACTAACCAAATTAACCCAAACGCAATGTGAGTTAGTACCTTCCTTCAAGACCTTTGTGGGAGAGCTCTCTTTCCAGGCACTGAAGTACTACAGAACTGCCCATTCTTAACTAGCTGAGAAGGTTTTATTTCCACATGATTGGGTTTTCAACAGCTTTTCCTTAACCTACCCCATTAATGCCACTTCCAGCATGACTTTCCTCTTTCACTGAATGTCAATTAGGCTGCGCAAGGAAACATCTCCTCAGCCAGCAGAAGCAAACAGATTAACAACTCAACTTAAGTCTTTTTATTTAATGGGAACATTTGGAGATGTTTTCCCTTTTCAGCTTCGAGAGTAGGAAGCAATAAGTCTCACACCTGTTCCTATTAACTGGAGTGGCACTGCATGCCAATCCCTTTGTGTTGCTCTGAAAACGTGCTTCTTGGAGGGTGGATGAAGGAAAAGCACAGAGCCAACCCCCAATTTTTAGCAACACCTGCTGCAGAGGCATAGAAAAGGTAGAGAAAGTGCATGTCTAGGAGAAGCAGCACCAATGTTCTTACCATTTCTAGCATGTGCATTTGTGGTGTAGAAGCCATTCCTGATAGGGAGGCGGCCAGTCAACAGAGCTGCCCTGGCTGCAGACAAAACATGCAAAACAGAGGACACACAGTGTTTAGTACTGATTGTCAGCCTTGTGGCATCAGATTTTGGCTGGGGACAGGTAGACTGGTTCTTAGGAGGAACTTCTTGCCATTGCCTACTGCCATGTTACTGTTCCTCACCTCTTACATTAGATTATGGGGCAAATTTCATCCCACTGCTCTAGCGTCAAGTCAAAGTGATGCTAGTGGAGTTAATGTAGCTGTGCCCATTAGAACGAGGTTAGGACCTGGGCCCTTACGTGTAGAAAGCACTTTACCCACAGCTGAAACGCAAGTGCCTCATGGAAGGAAACACAGCAGCCCTTCTGCTCCAGCACCTTTAAACAACAGAACCTCTAGGGAAGGGAGAAGGCAGTGAGCCGGGGGTGGACACTTCACATAAATCAGTCATTCACTTCATTTAAAGTGGATTCTCTTGCCTTGGCACAAACATTTATCTACTCCTACTGTGAACAGAAAAGGAAGATGTCCAACTAAAGCACAACAGACAGTAGGGCCCCAACTCAGGAAAGTATTTAAGCAGATGTTCAACTTTTTAAACATGTGCTTAAGACTTGCTGCTGTCAATGGATTAGGTAGGTGTTTCAGTGCTTTTCCTGAATCTTGATGGCCTGAAAACATTTAACCACGTGCTTCCTGAAAGGGAACCCAGCAGGAAAGCTCTTGGGTTTGCTTTTATTTTTCACGTGTCGGTTGGAAACGAGAAGAAAAAAAACAGCGCTGGGGACAAAGATGCAAAATCGGCATGTCTGGAGACCTGAAAGGTTTTGCTCCTCTATGCCCTCTCTGAGCATCTTAACCATCAACAATGACAGCCAGGAATCCAAGTTGCTCCATGAAGAAAAGTCAGTGGGAATGCTGTGTAAAACAGAATCAGGCCCAGGGTGAACTTTTTTGTTCAATCCATGTGTAGATATGACTTTGCTCAGCTTCCTAAAGACAAAAATATCTTTGTGGCTGAGGCCATAGGGCTAAAACACAATAAATAAATAAAAAAAGGAGAGACTCTCTCACTGGAGTGTTTTGCTGGCTAAATTACTGCTTTGTACAAAATGGATGAATGTCGTTTTCCCCCCCTTAAATAAATAAAATAAGGAAACAAAACACAAGATCAAAACATCAAACCCCAATGCTGCCTTCAGGGTAATCACTGCTTTGGTTAATAGCTTGTGTCAGATGCTGGCAAACATCCCAACTTTCTCAGAAGGTGGCAATTTCACATGCTAGTTTAAAAGTGAAGTTTACTTACATGGGGAGCACAGAGGGTTAGCAGTGTAGAAATTTGGGAAGAGCATCCCTTCTGCAGCCATCTGGTCTAAATTAGGGGTTTCTTCAGAAGGCTCTCCAAATGCTCCCAAATCGCCCCAGCCCATCTGCAGAAAGCAAGCACCGACATGATGTGAGAACAGCTTGACCTCTGCATAAACTACTGTACTGCCATCCGGACCAGCTTTGCTTTTTTAGGTTAATTCACCCATATACAGGCTAAGTCATTACTGTATTCAGGCACCTCGCACACAGGACCTGATTTTATCCTCACTACCCCCATGAAACAGAGAGCCATTACGATCTCCATTGACAGACAAAGAGAAAGTGATTGAGTGACTTACCAAATCTATCACTAAGCCAAAAGCAAAAACTCAGCCCCTTCAGCCCTCCTCCGTTCTCTTGGTCATAAGGCCCCCTATTCCATCCCCACCTTTTAAACGATTGTACACAGCCAGTCAGAAGTGCTCGGTGAAAGGCTAGGTCAAAAGGAGGAACAAGGACACCAGAGAGTTTTTTAAAGCAAAACTATTGAAAGAAGCATGCTGTCCTCACCCTCGTCATCACTTCACTCTGCAGGCTGATAGGCTCACCATGGCACGCCTCCAAGCCTTTATCTCAAGCAATGTGACTACATAGCTCCTGCCTAGGAACTCTAGAAAATTACCAACCCATTTGCCTAATTTCAGTACTGAAAAATAATATGGAAGCAAATAAAAATAAGTGACTCAAGCTATAAGCTCCTAGAAGAGAACAACTTAATGAGCACTTAAGCACTATGGTTTCATAAAGATGATATTGTACCTTGGAAACTCAACAGCTTTCTTTAATTCAGTTGTGTGTCAGGTGGGCAATTGAAACACAGGGCATAATCTATCTAGGTCCTGAGAAAGCTTTTAGTGTAGTCCCGCTTGAGAGTCTAATAGAGGTATCAGAATGATGCAGCTTGGAAGAGAATGTTGTGGAACAGGTACGGAGCTGGCTGATGGATCGTGAAAAGAGAGCAATTAAATGGTACAACATAAAACCAAGAAGTGGAATTAAGAGGGGTTCTGCAGGGGTCAACGCCATGTTCTGCGTTGTTCAGCATCTCTACTAGCGATAAGGAAGGAGGAAAGAGTTGTACGTTGATCAAATTCTGACACAAGTGCAGGAAGCAAAGGAATTACAGAAAAATCAGGGAAGGGAGCAGAGGCACCCAGGAATTTATTATTTATATTACTGCCATGTTCGCAGGCTCCTATTGGGATCCATGCATAATTATGCCTGGTGCTGCGCAAACACATCTGAAGGGATTATCCCCATCTCAAAGGTCTTTCTGTCAGAAAATTAAAAGATTCACTTGGGAAAAATAATTCGGAGTGGGAAGCTGCTGGGCAGATGGCTGGAATGCAGGGCAGAAGCTGGAGGATTGTACAGCCTGGCCGATGAAATCAGCCAACTGCAGAGGGGGGCAAAAACTCTGCAAATACGGTGTTGTTACCCCTACACTGAACTGTCATAGTGGAGCCAGACAGGAGAGAGCTGAGTTGGGCACACCTCTTCTGTCCCTCATGCACCCTCACTTTGTTTTAAGCATCTTGAAGATGTATGTACAATATACTTGCAGCAAGCATGGATCTGGGGGAATAAAAGAAGGGATTGGAAGAGAAAAAACCTGGAGACATTGCCAAATGACTAGTAATTTAGTTATGTGACTATTCCTGAGAAGGAGACTGTGTTTCACCTGCGGTTGCTTTTGCTCCTGATTTATTCAGTGTGTTCTCTGCTCGGACACAGGAAATGAACGACGTGAGTTTCTTTTTTGTTTCTGGATTCACTCTGAAGGCTTTAGGGTTGCTACATTTGCATTTTATAGTTTCATAGTTTCTAGGGTCGGAAGGGACCTGAGAAGATCATCTAGTCTGACCCCCTGCCATGGCAGGAAAGAGTACTGGGGTCAAACGACCCCAGCAAGGTGTTCATCTAACCTCTTCTTAAAAACCCCCAGGGTGGGAGCCTGCACCACCTCCCTTGGAAGTTGGTTCC